ACCTTTTGGGTGCTGCCACGTGCTTCTCTTCTTCTCCTCTCTGTAGACCAAGGAGCGCTCTAGTGGCATCGTTGGACGCGCCGGTGATGCCGGTGCTGCCCTCTAGACCTTCGCGTGGGCCTACACTTAAATTTTGAGGCGGGCTTCTGGGGTGAGAATGGCTGGTTGCGATGTCCTCTAGAACATCACCAATCGCAGCCCGAGCTTCAGATTCAGCCCGCACTGCAGTTGTCTGGGCTCTTTCTGAGATTTCGAACCGCTGGGCGTAATCGCTTTCGCTGTGGTCGGCATTGAGGTTGGCTTTGGGGGTTGAATCGCCGGCCATTTTGATCCCTTTGCTTTGATTCGGTTTGAGTTGGGGTCGGTTGATTTAGGGCTAGGGTTTTGAATTGGGTTTCTGGAGTCGGTTTGCTTGCAGAAGAGAGAGATGACAGGGTACGGACGAGGAGGTAACTCATAACGGGGAATTTTAAACGTAAGGGTATTTTGGGCATTTCGAGCGGGGTTTAAACGGCGTTACGCCTGGGGATTGGTTTTGGGGGCTGGAAGAAAATCGGGGGCGGTTTTGGGGGTAAAAGGAACGTTGAAAAGGTCTTGGGGGGCAGAGCATGTTTTGGGTTGTTTTGGGGGCTGGAAACAATTTTCCCTAGAATTAAACATATTATTTGTTATTCTTGTAATGTAGGGAGATATGGAGCCAGACCAAGGAAGCACTAAGTAATAAAATTGGGGATGTACATGCGAGGATCATGAAGAAGTTCCTCAATGGTGGTTTCATGTAATCTTAATATCAATGCTAGGACTTTCTATTTTCACCTGTGAGGGTTTTGGCCAACAACTTCAACTCCCCTACTGGGGAGTTCTACTTGCAGCTGCCTTAGCTACTCTTTACGCTTCAGATTGGTATTATCACTGCCACAACGAATCAGGTATATACCTAAATTCCCTACCGAATATGTATCAGTATATCTGATCTTATAAGTTTTTCTTGCTATCATACACCAGGGCTGAATGTGATAACTGAACTAATCATCGGTTACATGTACTCGGGAAGGCCTCTAGCAAATGTCTCCTATAAAACGTACGGGTATATTAGCATGGCTCAGGCTATTGCATTCCTTGCAGATTTCAAATTAGGTCATTACATGAAGATCCCACCCAAGTCCATGTTCATTGTTCAGGTATATATACACCATTCTGCATTCTCCCTAATAACAAGTAGGCCTCTATTCCAGATCATTGGGATCAGCTACCTCAATCATATTTTTCCAGTCAGTTCAGTTGAGGGCTATCTCCTTCCACTAAGTAATCATTATCATAGCCTTCTTGAAGTCTTCCAACCAAATTCTCTTAGACCTACACTGAGTCTTCTTTTACCCATTAATTATAATCTTTATTTTTTTTCCTAACTGATGCATTTAATGGTCTCTGTTGCACACAAACGATTCTTTCTCATTATATTTTCAGTAGGACCAACCTCTAACTTCCTAAGAATGGAGTCATTTCTTGCAGCTGGTTGGAACGGTGATTGCCCACTTTCGGCACCTCGTGGTGGCTCTTGGAGACCGTGCCACACATATGTGACCCCTCTCAACTACCCGAAGGTAGCCCATGGACATGTCCTGGTGATCGAGTTTTCTACAGCGCGTCCATAATATGGGGCGTCGTTGGTCCTCAGAGAATGTTTGGTAATCTTGGCCTCTACAAAAAAATGAACTACTTCTTCCTTATAGGATTATTATCTCCAGTACCGATATGGGCACTATCGTGCATGTTCCCATCGAAGAAGTGGATAAAACTCATCAACATGCCAATTATTTTAGGTGCATCAGGAAATATGCCACCGGCTAGATCAGTTAACTACATAATGTGGTTTGTGATGGGGATGTTGTTCAACATTGTTGTGTATAGGAGGTTCAAAGGGTGGTGGGCGAGACATAATTATGTGTTGTCGGCTGCTTTAGATGCAGGGGTGGCTTTTATGGCAATACTGACATATTTTGCTTTGGGAATCAAGGATATTAATGGGATAGAATGGTGGGGGTTGGATTTGGATAAGCAATGCCCATTGGCTAATTGTCCTACTGCACCGGGTATCAAAGTTGATAATTGTCCTCTCTATGACTGACAGGATTTGGTTTTTTAGGTGATTTTCATTGTGATATGTAGGACTAATTGTTATGTTGCAGTCGCTTATTATAACAGAACAGTTAGAAAGTTTATTCCAGTCCAGTTGTAATGTTTGTGGATTGAAATTGTAGATCGCCAGTACTTCATCCCTCTTTTTTCCTTCATCCAAAGGAAAAAGGTCTGAAATCTAAAGGTTGAACAGGCTTCTAGAAAAAAACACTAGCATAAACTATGAAACTCAATGTAAAGCTACTATTATTCTGCATAAAGATCCAAAGCTACAAGTCCCAAAAATATCACGTAAACTGCCCAATCTAGTCTTCTCGCGTGGGTACTCTGAAATTCAGCAACCATCCAACAGCAACTAGTCAGCAATACCCACAAAGGGCTGCATTCTGGAAAAGCTTCCTCTAGCATGCACTAGAAAGTTGTTGGCAAACAAGCCAAAACCTTGCATTTCAAAAAATAGAGGAACACAACGGAATGGCTTCTTGATGAAGCTTAAGTCCTCGCGGTTTATGGATAGTATCGACCAGTTGCATCAGCACCACTGTAGCCTCCCTTTTACCATAAATTTCACCACAACTATAGCTACTACTACAACTAGTTCCATAACTACGACCAGAGTTAGAACCACGATAAACCACCAAACTCATCAATAAAGCCATACTAATGGTTGGAGCATATAAATTTCTTATTTAAGATCTCCATGAAGAAAAGCTATTTTCACATCTAATTGTTCTAGATGTAAGTCAAATATAGCACTCATAGCAAGAACTACTCGAACTGTTGCAAGTCGAACTACAGGAGAAAATATTTTATTAAAGTCAATACCTTCTTTTTGAGCATATCCTTTTACCATCGTTCTAGCACGATATTGCTCCACTTGATCGTCGCCATTTCGCTTGATCTTAAGACCCATTTATTTCCAATGGTCTTTCTTCCTTATGGTAGTGACACAAATACCCAAGTCTTATTCTTATGGAAAGCTTCAATTTCTTCCTGCATTGTTGTCATCCACAAACACGTATCTGTGCTGTTTATAGCTTTATGGAAAGTTGATGGCTCTCCATTCTCTATTAGAAAACAGTATGCAACATTACTCTCCGTAATATACTCCTAGTGCCAAGTCGGTAGTCTTCTCTCACAAGTTGACCTTCGAACCTCTGGAGCCTCGGACCCAATTGTCTCTTGTACATCATGCACCGGTATTGCTTCAGAAGAATTTGGATTATTTTCTACTTGAACAGCTATAGTCTCTGAGTTCTTCCTCGAACAACTTTCTTTCTCTTCACTTTGTAGCTGATTCTCTACGAAGATAACATCTATGCTGACAATAACCTTGCGGATAGTGGGATCTCACAAGCGATACCCCTTTACTCTGTCAGCATACCCTAAGAATATGTATTTTCTGAATTTTAAATCCAGCTATGTAATTTCTTAGGCATTGTACATTACGTAGACTGGACTTTCAAATATATAGAGGTTGGAATAATCAGCTAGCTTGCCGATCAACATCTCCATCAACGTCTTTAACCATATTATGATTGATGGAGATCGATTCACCGCATAACATGCGGTTTTTACTACTTTCGCCCAAAAGACTTTATCTATATATGCAGTTGTCAACATTGCTCTTGTTCTTTCTAATAGAGTTCTATTCATTCGCTCAGCTATTCTATTTTATTGAGGAGTGTATGTAGTACTGAATTGTCTTTTGATGTCTTCTTAATTGCAGAATGCAATAAGTTTACCGTCTGTGTATTATCCTACATTATCTGACCTCAAGCACTTGATCTTCTTTTTAGATTTAATCTCGACTCGCGCTTTGTAAACTTTAAAGACTGATAACACATTTACCTTCTTCTTGATATGGTACATTCAACATCTCCTAGAATAATCATCAATAAATGACACAAAATACTTTGCTCCTCCCGTGGATGTAACCGGTATTTACCATACATCAGAATGAACCAGTTCCAAAATAGCCTTGCTTCTAGAACTCGATGTGTTAAACTTCAGCTGATGTTGCTTCCTGGGCTCAAATCGGTAGCTCAAATCGAATGCGTTGTCAGCACAATTGTCAGCCGCAATTTTGAAAAAATAAAAAGGTGACGGCCCCCAAATTAAATGCACCAAAAGAAGAGCTACATCAAAAGAAGAAAGAAAACATATTATAAAATCAGGAATAATATTTTTCAGCTGCCTATAAATAGGCCCAAAACTCTTCAAGAAGAACACATCCCAACAACAAATTCCAATCTCCACTCCACATATAGAAGAGAAAGAGAAAGAATTATAAAGAGTTTCTCCTTGTAAAGAGAGATTGTAACTCCTAAATTTCTCATAATGAACTCTTCTATTCTCGCCAGCGGTTTTTACCCCAAATCATTTAAGGGGTTTTTCACGTAAAATCTGTATGTTCACTTTATTACTTTTGCACTACTATTCGCTATGATCCTGTTCTAGTGGGCCCTGGTTTTTCCTTCAAGACTCACTACTAAATACAAAAGCCCCTGGCTTTAAGGCTTTCATTGGTTCTGCCTTCCCAATCTCCACCTACAACAAAAGAACAGCATTAACTAATTTATGTTAACAGAAAACCGTCTAGTAAGACTTGACTACAGGGAAAATCTATTTAAAACCTACAAAACCTAAGCTCAACAGCATCATATATATCCACATAAATGGACCGACACGTGTATTTATAAGCTATTGCTTAATCCCTGATGCACAAATGAAAAATAAGGGACATAAAATGAGTGATGATGTACAAATTATAGCAAATTTTGGTCATAAATGTTATGTGAAATATTGCATTAGTGCAACAGCTAACCTGAGAACCAGCCAGATCAATAATATTGTCGTCTGCCAAAAGGTCATCTATGGCTTGTTCAGTGTCGAAAAGTATAAATCCAAAGCCTCAAGACTGCTTAGTCGTATGATCATGGATAATCCTATGGTCCATCACCTATCCATATTTTGAGAAGAAGCTCTTGAACTCAACTAGTCAATTCAAACAATAAGAATCTACAAATTCTATTATCCCAATTCAGACAGCAAAAGGCTGAAATTTATAAAGTGAAGTAGCATACCCTCAGTCATAGTAAGTGGGATTCCACAGCAAAAATCTTCTTTGTTTTGAAATCCTTTGATTTCATGGAGCCTTTCCTTTTTAATTTCAACCTACAAGTTAGAGTATGTGAAGATTAATTAAAAGTTTAGAACCAATATAACCAACCAACTTTTAGTAAAAACACAAAATATGTGGTTCAAGCTAACATATGACAGAATGAAATTAATAATAAAAATGTAGAGAAGCAGTAAACTGACAAATCAGTTGCTATTGTCAGGCTAGTTAAGGTCAGGGAAAATTAATTTATATAGATATGCAGGATCGATCATACAGGCTGATGGTTTTCAATCTTCTAGACGCCCATTTTCTGATCCCCGACTCTTTATAAATCATCATGGGTCAATCAAAGTACAGCCATTTCTTCTTTTTGTATTCCGAAAAGTGAAACCTTAGCAACCTTAGATACTAAATCATGTTACCTCACAAACAAGTAAAACTTGCCCCCTTCTGGGCCAAGCATGTCAAAAGACATGAATAAGTAGCAAATTCCTTAAGATGTGCATGACAGCTTGTTGCACATGCTTGATGGTCGGTTTATGAAGTTTTAGGATCAGCCAAATATTGTGATCCAGACACAAAATTGAGCATCCATATGTATGCACTTATGTATGTACATAAGTATATATGTATGCGTAAGTAAGTATATATGTATGCATGTATGTATGTATGCAAGAAATCTCATACAATCACATAGCACTACCTGAATAGATGCATAGCACTATCAGTTAGAGTTCTGTATATGATGTACCATAAACTTTGTAGCTGAAGGATTTCAAGTGAAAATAAATCAACAGGTCTCTGGTTCTTCTTCACGATGATTATAAAAGCACATATTTAAATAAAAAGAAATTAACTGCCCTTTTGGTTCAATATGTGATATCTGAAGGCATAGCAATCAGAGGTATACCCTAAACCACTGATTCTACAGTTGAGCCTCAACCGAATTGCAATCCTGGTGAAAATCAAAGTACTCAACCTAGATGTTAGATAATAAAGGCAAAAGTATGATTGCAATTACAATATCCACAACAAAGGAGCATTTAAATTTTACTAGTAGCATTAGAGGTTTCAAGGAACACATGAGACCAACAATGCATTATAAAGTAGTTGCAGTCCAAGGGGTCAACAGAATATCAGATAGCATAGAGCACATAGCAGCAGGGAGATGATTAACTGTTTAGAAAATAAATCGTAAACATTATCAATTAGCTGCAGAATAATATTACAACAACAGTATTTCGACAAGAACACAGGTTTAGAACTAAAGTAAATAGAAGTGTATCACCAGTTGTCAAAGTGGCCTGCTAGTCTAATTTATGTTCATGAATAACAAGCCATATAGATCCAAAAACAACAAGTCATGAATAGCTTGGTGACAAATTGTATGACACATACTGGAAAATCATTAAAAATATGCACACAATAAATAGTGGCCAAAAATTGCAAAACACAAAAGACGCATATCATGGACCTTTTTTCAACTTGCATCTTATAATGTGTTGTTATATTAACAGGGATACATTAATATAGATATTTAGTTATTATACTAACAGGACAAAAGAAAAATATTCTAATCCAGAATGCTTCCAGTCATTTCAGCAGTTGAACTCAAAAAAAAAACTTTGTAGCTTTTACAGAGCTGTTGTACTTCATACACCACAGATGTACAAACTTTCTCAAGGATGAGTGGCAGCATAATGAAAAGCCCAGGACTGAAGTCTTCATAGGCCACTAATTAAATTAATGAACTGATGATACCAGCACACAAACATAATCCAATAAACCCCACCAATCATCAGTGGACAACACACATGCATTGTATAGAGACTTTAAGGGAGACCCCAGAACCAGTAGGCAGATTTATGATGAAATGCAGCAAACCCAGGAATATTGCCCGTATAACCCCATGCATTGATGGTCAGTTCCTCAGCAATTCTAATATGTAACTTTTCTAAGCATGTAAGAGATTCTAGACAACAACATAAGCTCGAAATGGACTCCTAAATTGACAGCTAGGCTTTTTAGGCTCCAATCTAGATTCAGATAAGACATATTCAACTAAGTAGCTGTTGCAAATAGCTGGGAGCCTCCAAGAGACCAATCTTATTGTATCACTCCAGATTTGAAATAGAGAATTTTAAGGTGATAATGACTAGAAATTTAATCAAAATAAATACAAAAGTAACATTCTTTCCTACTGTTAAGAGAAATCTTTATAATCGAATGATAATGAACATTAAAGAAAAGATTTTTGAAAGACCAGGCCTCACGCTCTTAAAAACCTCATCAAGTAATAAGACTCTTTTGGGAGTTATATGTCCCATGGAACCAGGTACAGAATAAGAGGGAGCAAAAATAAAGCATCAAAAGGATTAGAACAGACTAAGGGGAAACACTCAGCTATACCTCCAAAAAAACAGCAAACATATCTACATAACATCTACCAAAAATATGTTAAATCAAGAATGTAGGCTTCAGCATATACACTTATGACACACTAAAGCGAAATCTACTGCCATCCTTCCAACCAACCAAAATTCCATATAGATCTATAATTCATTAAAAAATCTAGGAGCAGAATATTCAATCTCATCTCTAAACTAAACATAAACTCTACATAACCAAGCCAAAATGTTATGAAGCAAACTATAACAGAAAAGATCTGAAATCTAAAGGTTTAACAGGTTTCTACAAAAAAAAAAGCTAGCATAAAGGTCCAAAGCTACAAGTTCTAGAATATCACATAGATTATCCAATCTAGGCTTCTGGCTTGGTTACGATGAAATTCAACAATCATCCAACAGCAACTAGGCTACTAGCCAATAGTACAAACAAAGGGCTGCATTTTGGAAAAGCTTTCTCTAGCATGCACTAGAAAGTAGCTCCACAAACCACCCAAACGCTTGCAGTTCGAAATCTTGAGAAACATGGTAGAAAGACAACTAGAAGAAGCTTAAATCCTGGAAGGCTGGAAGCATATTCTGGTTCCTTCTACCTGGCATATAGATGATCTCTACCAGTAGGCCCAGCACCACTGTAGCCTCCCCTATTACCATGAATTTTACTGGAACTAGTTTCATAACTACCACCAAAGCTAGAAACACCATAACAATCAAAGCCCTCAATAAAGCCATACCCACCATTGAAACCTCCATGATATGACCCATAGCAACTAGAGTAACCAAGAGATGTCTCTCCTCGGTAACCACCAGACTCACAACTGTGCCTACTGTGAAAACCATGGGTCCTATAATCTGAATCAATCTCACTATTGCTGAAACTGCTAACCATCAGGTTTAGCACTGAAAGAATGATCCCTAAACTAACTACAAAATACATGAGTTGTTGGCTAGATGCTTTCTTTTATTCTCCCTTCCTACATCAAAGCAACAACATTATCCTACTTTCTGCTAACAGAAAATTGTCTAGTAGTCCTCCACTATAGGGAAAATGTATTCAACCTATCAAAACCTAAAGCTTAACAGTGTCATCTGTATCTACGTAGATGGACAAACACATGTTTTAGTATGCTACTGCTTTGATCCCTTTCTTGATACATAAATAAAAAGTCAGGATATAAAATGAGTGATGAGGTTCAAACAGTAGAAAATTATGGTGCAAAAATGGATTGTGAAATATTGCAAAATTGTACACAGCTAACCTGTGAGCCAGCCATATCAATCATGTTGCCCTTTGCCAAAAGGTCATCTACGATTTGTATGGAGTCAAAACCTATAAATCCAAAGTCTCGAGATTGACTAGTAGAAGGATCACGAATAATCGCATGGTCCAGCACCTTCCCATGCTTTGAGAAGAAACTCTGGTACTCATCTAGTCAGTTTTAAGATACCAAAATGATAAGAATCCGCCATCTACAAGTTCTAATATCGTAATTCAAGCAATAAAAGGCTAAATCTACAAAGGTAAAGTGGCATACCATCAGTCATATACGTGGAATTCCACAAACAAAAAATCTTCTTTGTTTTGAAATAGTCTGATTGCACAGAACCTTTTGGGATGTTCCTTTTAATTTCATCCTACAAATTATAGTATGTGCAGATTATTTAACAGTTGGCCAATAATGATCAAACAGCTTTTAGTAAACACATGCTTTAGCATACTACTGCTTTGATGCCTTTCTTGATGCACAAATGAAAAGTCAGGATAATAAATGAGTGATGAGGTTCAAACAATAACAAATTATGGTGCAAATATGGTCTGTGAAATATTGCACATATCGTACACAGCTAACCTGAGAGCCAGACATATGAATCATGTTGCCCTTTCTCAAAAGGTCACCTACGGCTTGTTCAGAATTGAAAACTACAAATCCAAATCCTCGAGATTGATTAGTATGATGATCAAATGGTCCAGCAACTTTCCATACTTTGAGAAGAAAATCTGGAATTATCTAGTCAATTTTAAGATACCAAAATGATAAGCATCCGCCATCTACAAGCCTGATATCATAATTCAAACAATAGAAGGCTAAAATCTACAGAAGTGAAGTGCCATACCATCAGTCACAGTAAGTGGGATTCCACCAACAAAAATCTTTTTTGATTTAAAATAGTTTGATTGCACATAACCTTTCGTGATGTTCCTTTTAATTTCAGCCTACAAATTAGAGTATCTGCAGATTATTTAATAGTTGAGAACCAATATGATCAAACCGACTTTTAGTAAAAAAAAAAATATGCCGCTCAAGTTAGAAAGTGCTGAAATAAAGATCAACAATTGAAATGTACAACACTAGTAAGCTGACACATCAATTGCAATAAGTCAGATTGGCTGAGGTTTGGGAAAGTTAATTTATACAGGTGTGAAATCAACCACACAGGCTGATGATTTTCAGACCTGGACAATTATTTTCTCATCCTTAATTATTTGTATCTCATGAGCCAATCAAAATTGCAACCATTTTCTACTCTCTTGTCTTCGAAAAACAAAACTTCAGACATTAAATCATATTGTCACTCACGAACTACTAAAACTTGCCATATTCTGGGCCAAGCATGTCAAAGGCATACCAAAACCCAATTCCTCAAGATGTGCATGCCAGCTGGTTGCACATGTTTCATGCTCGGTTTGTCAAGTATTAAGTTCAGCCAAATATGGTCACCGATACACATACTCAAGCATCCATGTATGTACGTATGCATGCATGCATGTATGCATGGATGTATGTATGTACATATGTATGTATGTATGCATGGATGTATGTATGTACATATGTATGTATGTATGCATGCATGTATGAAAACATGGATGTATATATGTACATACATATGCAAGAAATCTCATTGAATCATATAAACCAGAATAGATGTAGCACTATCAATTAGAGCTATGCATATAATGTACAAGTTTGTAGCGGTACAATTTCAAGTAAAAAATAAATCAACAGGTATCTGGTTCTGCTCACAATATGATTATAATAAACCACATGTATAAATGAAAAAGAAGTTGACTGTCCTTTTGTTTCAATATGTGATATCTAAATAAATGGCTTAGCAATTAGAGGAATATTATAAAAAATGCTTCTAGAGATGAGCATCAGTAAAATTGCACTCCTGGTGACAATCAAAGTACTCAATCTAGACATAAGATAATAAATGTGAAACTATGATTGCAGTTATAGTATCTACAGCAAAGGAGCAGTTAAATTGGACCAGCAGCATTAGGAGGCTTCAAGGAACAAATAGGACCAACAACGCTTTAGTGAAGTAGTAGTACTCCGTGGGGTCAACAGAATATCAGATATCATAGAGTACATAGTAGCAGGGACATGATTTAACTACAGAATGATATTACAATAATGGAATTTCGACAAGAACACAGTCTCAGAACTTAAGAAAATAGAAGTGCATCATGAAGTAAGAAGGTAATATGTAATTTTAATCCTTCTTTGAAAATTACAAGCGATATAGATCCAAAACAGAAGTCAAGGATAGATTGATGATGAACTGCATGACACATACGGGAAAAAGTCATAAAAAAAGTATGCAATAAATAGTGAACAAAAGTTCCATAGCGCAAAAAATTATATCATGGACCTGTTGTGAAATAGGACTTTATAATGTAATATTATACTGATAAGGATAAACTAATGTCGACATGCGGTTATTAGTGAGTCTAATCAAACATACTTCTAGTCAACAACAGTTGAACTACTCAAATACACAAGCATGTAACTGCATTTCTCATGGGAGGACAAGTTATCTTGCCATAAGCTATCATGGAAGACTCTTACAAGAATTACAGAAAAAATCACTTTATCATGTATATAGGAGTTCTAAAAGACTTACTTGTTTATTATTAAAAATATGAGTACCCTCGATTACTTTATCCACCACAGAAGGATCAGCATAGCTGATCATACCAAATCCCCTTGGCTGTAACAGTTAAAATATATGAGAAACTCTAATTCTTATTATGAAATCTCTTGGGCTTATATAGGCCCCTACAAAATACAACTTACAAATAAGTCCCTGCATATTACTCATATATCAACACTCCTCCTCAAGATGGGCGAAAGATATCCACTAAGCCCATCTTGTCACATCCTCTAATCATATCTAATGAGCTAAGTCTCTTAGTTAGACAATCTGCTGCCTGGTCCTTAGTTGAAACATGACTTAGCTCCAGTAGTCCACTATCCAACTTCTCTTTGATGAAGAACCTATCGATCTCGATGTGTTTGGTTCTATCATGCTGCACTGGGTTGTTAGCGATACTGATAGCTGACTTGTTATCACACCACAACTTCATCTTAGCTCCTTGATCCAACTTCAGCTCCACCAGCATGCTCTTCAACCATAACAACTCAGCAACTCCTAAGGCCATAGCTCTATAATCTGCCTCAGCTGTCGATCTCGCCACCACAGACTGTTTCTTGCTCTTCCACGAGACTAAGTTCCCTCCTATAAAGATGCAGTATCCTGAGGTGGACCTCCTGTCATCAGCACAACTAGCCCAATCAGAGTCGCAGTAACCCTTAATACTCACATGTCCATTCTTTCTGAATATCAGCCCTTTTCCGGGGGAACTCTTCAAATATCTCAGAATCTGGTACATAGCGTCCATATGACCTTTCCTCGGATCATACATGTAGCGGCTCACCATGCTCACTGCAAAAGAGATATCAGGACGTGTGTGACTCAGATAGATCAACCTGCCCACCAGTCTTTGGTATCTGTCACGATCAACTGGTTCTCCAGCTTCAGCACCCAGCTTGAACTTCTGGTCGATCGGTGTAGTTGCAGGCTTACACCCTAGCATCCCTGTCTCTTTGAGAAGATCCAGTGCATACTTTCTCTGCGATAGGACAATCTCCCCCGCTCCTCGAGCTATCTCTATTCCAAGAAAGTATCGAAGCAATCCAAGATCTTTCACCTCGAATTCCTTACCCAGTCTCACTTTGAGTTGGGCAATCTCCTTCTCATCATCCCCTGTAATAATCATATCATCCACATATACCGCAAGCATGGTGATGTGACCTTCATTTCGTCGAAAGAGCACGGTATGATCGGCGTTAATCTGCTGGTACCCCATACCTAGCATAGCTCTCCTGAATCTGTCGAACCAAGCACGAGGAGACTGCTTCAGCCCATAGAGAGACTTCTTTAATTTGCAGACCTTGCTCACTGTTTGATCTGTGTTGAATTCTAGTGGAATTTTCATGTATACCTCTTCCACCAGATCTCCATGAAGAAATGCATTCTTCACATCTAATTGGTGTAGCTTCCATCCATCATTTACTGCCAGAGAGATCAAGGTCCGAACAGTGCTCATCTTTGCCACCAGTGCAAAAGTCTCATCATAGTCGATCCCATATGTCTGACTATATCCTTTTGTCACCAAACGAGCTTTGTAACGTTCAACCTGTCCGTCTGGATTTTGCTTCACAGTGAAGACTCACTTGCATCCAACTAGTCTCTTCCCTTTTGGTAGTTTTACTAACTCCCAAGTGTGGTTCTTCTCAAGGGCCCCTAGCTCTTCGTGCATCGTCGTTTTCCACTTTGGGTCTTTCTTAGCATCCTGCCAATTGTTAGGTACAATAACAGAGTCCAATGATACAATGAATGCTCTATGTGCAGGATGAATGTTAAAATATGATACAAACTGGGCAAGATCCCATCCATATCTATCGGGAGGATTTCCCGCATTACTACGAGTAGTCCTCCGTACTGATATTGGTGTGGGAGGAGTAGGGAGAGGAATGTTATCACCTTAGGATGAATCTGGTGGTGATGTCGGTGTCTCAGGAGTCGGGACAGGCATTGACAAGAGACTGGGCAGCACTAGTGACACTGTAGGTACTGTTCCTGCAATTTGCTTCCCCTTCCTACTATAGGTTAGTAGTTCCCCCTGAACCGTGGGCCTAACATCTCTTGTCTCATTTTTCTTTTCTTCTTCATTCTCCTGCTCCTCCTCAACCAATTCTCCCTCCCAAGGAATCGATACAGAAATTGATTTCTCCGATTTCTCCACATTATTCACCAATCTCTCACCATTCTCCTCCTCTCGCCTCATACTTCTAGTATTGGGCGAGTTACCAATGGATGAAGTTACCTTCCGGATATAATATGGCTCGAGTTCTCGAAAGTGCACATCCATGCTCACAAACAACCTTTTTTCCACCGGGCTCCAGCAAACATATCCCTTCTGAGTAGCAGAATATCCCACAAAGACGCACTTCACAGCTCTAGGGGCAAGCTTCCCGACGGATGGCCTGTTGTCCTTCACAAAGCACACAAAGCCAAACACTTTGAGTGGAAGAATCCCACCATTATCTCCCTTCAATGTCTCACACGGAGACTTCCAATCCAGTACTCTCGAGTGGGACATTCATAGAGATCATCATGCTTCTAGCAACCTCTAAAAGATGTCTGTTCTTCCTTTCTGCTACCCCATTCTGAGCTGGTGTATATGGACATGTAGTCTGATGCTGTATTCCCTAAGCTAACAAGTATTCTCTTAATGCTCTGTTAGTATATTCTGTCCCATTATCAGACCTCAATACTTTCACCACTGCTCCGTATTGAGTCTGAACAGTCTTATGAAAATTTTGGAAGCACCCAAACACTTCACTCTTATTCTTCATCAGGTATAACCAAGTAACACGAGAGAAACAATCAATAAATGTAATAAAATATTTGTATCCATTCATAGAACTTGTGGAACAAGGCCCCCAAACATTTGAATGTACTAAGTCAAATGCATGAAAACTTGTATGATCAGAACTAACATAAGAGCTTCTAGTAAGCTTTCCAAACTCACATGCATCACACACAAGTTTCTGTTTATTTGCTTTCTTAAATAAAGAAGGATACAATCTACCTAAAACACTAAAGAATGAGTGTCCCAAACGCTGGTGATGAAGCATTAACTCACTCTCAGTACTCATTTTAGATCTTACTCATGCTTCCTCTACGACTGACACCAATACTGAATCCAGCCCTTCACGATCTAGATATCACAGTCCACTACGCCATGTGCCAGTCCCAAGTCTCCGCCCTGTCCCCTTCTCCTGGAAAATCACCTTGGGAATATCAAAAGAAACAATGCATTTTAGTTGGAGGATAATAGAACTAATGGACAAAAGATTGACTGAA